ATAAAAACGTTTTCATAATTGTAACATACATATTTACATACATAATTATTCAGGTGCATGTGTTATAACTTGCGAAAACTTGAGGCTACAGCAGCACTTCTTCGTCATCGTCATCTTGTCTGATGCACTCAACCAAGCGTTCTAAGTTACCACAACCTCGGCCCTCCCCACCCCCCAACCATTCGAATCTCCGTAGGCGGGAACTATTTTACTGATATTCTTAAAATTCAAAAAGTGAAAAAGCATAATAGGACCCCTTTAAGAGACTTACTTAGACACCGTATTTCCTGCTTTTGCTCTATTTCGCCAACAAAAAGCAGCACTGTTTTGAGTCTCCGAGCAACATGACGGTGTTTCCTTCCTGAATGAATCAAGCGTTTAAATGATTCGGTTCAAACGCAATGACTCACTTATTAATAGTGACTTGCTGCCACTAAAGTATTCCATGTCCCTCTGAGCTGCATTAAACAGTGTGTAAATAAATCTAAATGCCACTTAAGATGCAGCTTCTGTGTTTCCTCTGCATTGCAAAGATAAATTTTGTTGATACTGATTTAATTTGCTTGGTAATAGCCCAAATGCAAGAATTTGAAAAGTTGTTACACACTTTTAGAGAAAAACGGCTTAAAGGTAAAAATGCCCATAAAACTTGTTGGAAAAGATTAATTTCCATCACTGCTGTGAACTGACCACACAGAATATATATATATATATATATATAAAAATTCAGGAGTCAGCTGTCCACGGTAGTCCTTAAGATATAAGCACAGTAACACACTCAGTAAAATTTAGTCTAATTATCGTTATCGATAAAATCCCAGAAAACATAAGAGATATTTTTTGTCAATATTGCAAACCCCTCATTTGTTATTTAATTTATATAATAATTTATTGAAAATAATTGTTTAAATTAATATAATGATTAATACTTTTGACTCCATTTTCTTAAAAATGGTTTAAAGGCTGAAATGTAAAGTTTATCATTTTATAAAACTTGTATATGAACTGTAAATTATGCTTTTTACAGTCATTTTACAGTTTAATATGGTACTATAGACATTGCTCTACCCCGCTCATATGGTATTAATTTTATTTGTGCAGGTCTTAAAAAAGGTCTTAAAAAGTCTTAAATTTGCGCTTAAAAAATCTTGCAGAAACCCTGTAAATAAATATTCCAAACCAGGTTTGCTTCCAATACTTATTCAGTCAGTTCAAAAACTAAAATCTGCTAACAACATACTGCAATATGGAAAATGTATAGCATCTGCAAGACCTAAAACCATCATCCAGATTTGGTCTCTAATCTTTTTATACATATAGACCTGATTCCTCATTTCATTCCTACATACTATCATAAACCCTGAAACAGAAACATGTTTGTATTTTATGAAAGTTGATAACAGTGTCACCACATGCATTGACTGCGGATACTGTTTTCTATATATATTCATTTTTCGTTGGATATTCTTTTTTTTTTTGTCCCTCTGTTTCTTTTTCTGAATTTCATATTTAGTGGTTTTCAATTGTATCTGAAAACCTTAATGAAAAAAAAAAGTTAATGCTTCTGTTCAGACCGACACGACCATTCACATGCATCCATACATGCCACCTACTATCAAAGAGTGAAACTGTATTTTCAGCCTGTCTGCCATTTTTCCCCCGCATTGGAAAAGACAAATCAAATGAGAAAGTCAGACTGAATTCTCATGTTGATGTGAACAGGCCATTAGAACGAAGAATGGAAGAAAAAGGAGGATAATCTCACCGTCTACTGTCTGTGACACCAGCACCACATCAGTCACCTGTAGAGAGAGCTCATCCGGCTGCCTGGCCGTGTATGTCCTTGTCACCTCAACCTGCATTGCATCTAATGAAGAAATACAAACAAACATTTAAAATTAAAACAAAATAAATATAATAATAATACACTAAACACTATGACAATCTGGTATATAAATATGCCTCCCTAAATGTAAGTCAAGAATTTTTTTTTTTATTTATTATTTTATTATCCAATAGGCAATAACTATCATAAACTTATAGCAATACTACACCTCAACATGCAGCATGACTTGAGGTAACATTCACATTTTATGTGTGTTTAGGGTTTTGTACGTTTTGTAATGGTTATTTTGATTGGTGATTTGACAGACAGTAGCGGAGTAGTGTTGCTGTAATACATTGCAAAGCCAGAAGGTGGTGCTGCTTCGCTGAGGCTGGCTGTACTCACTCATTCTGTCGTTGTTACTGTTGTTCTGTCCCAGAGCGCTGATCCAGCGGGCTCTCTCATTACTATCACAAAAGAAAACATACATCATTAACTTATAACCACTGAAGCAGTGTTTTGACTCACAGTTGTATGTGATTTCTGTTAAAACTGTCGAAACCAAATAACAAAGAAGCTATTCCTTTATTGTTCTGGACATTCACAGACACACACCTCCAGACTCTGGTATAACAGCAGGTAAAGTTACTAGGAGAAACTTGACCTTGGTGCTGAAGCATTCATTACATTCAGTACAAGAAGTGTCTGTTCAATCTTGTAAGCTCCTTTGTGTTTGTTCAATTTTGACTGAGAACATGCCACTGCTTTTTACAGAAAGAAAGAAAGGAGAGACGCAGTGAGAAAAGAAAGAGACGGGATTGCATCAAATCCTTGCACGATTTGACATACTGAGTCAAATTCAGCACAAATATCCCACAGTAGAGTATTGAGAAAGTAATGGCTGGTCATCTGTCAGAAACTACTTCTCTTTTGTTAAAATATATATTCTATTAAGTTGTGAGAGAAAAATACTGAAAATCAGGGCATTTTCAGAGCTGACCTGAAGTGAGTCAGCCAGCCTGTGGGATTCTCAGCCCAACTGTAGAGCAGACAGACACCAGACCAGTCTCACGATCTGAGCAGACAGCCTGAGCTGACCAGCTGCATGAGTCACGCTTGGCTCATTCTGGTCCCATTTAAAGCAGAAGGGGTCACAAAGGCCCCTTTTGCCTGTTTTATTACCGGGAACATTAATGAGCCTTAGTGCATTGTGATTCATTCATTGACTAATAATTAGTGTTTAATAGAGTCATTGACAAAGAGGGGAGGAAAGAAGATGGAAAATCTTTAAGGCTAAACTCCCGTTGTACATGTAATATGACTGATTACAAATAGTTACGTGTCTAAAATGGCTTACAAGTTTCTTGAGCAACAAATCATACTAGCATAATTTCTGAAGGACCACGTGATACGAGACTGCAGAAATGTCTGCTGAAAATTCAGCTGAGCCATCACATGAATAAATTACATTTTAAAATAGAAAACAATTATTTTAAATAGTTTTTATTGTTTCTTGTACTGTGGTCTTGGCGAGCATAAGAGACTTCTTAAAAAAAGACCACACATTTTTGTTGTTTTTATAAAACAACACACAAATCATCAATATGTGCCTGAACTGTTGCAATGAGGAAATGACACAATGACACATGACAACCACATACAGATTGTGCATATCCAGATATTTAATATATGTGAAGCAAACTATGAGAACAAGTATGTTCAGTTTAACGCAAACTATGAGAACAAGTATGTTCAGTTTAACCAATCTCCCTTAGCCGCATTCTGCAGGGTGTGTAGTTAGCCTGGGAAGGGCAGCTGTCTATTCACATCCCTGGAATCTGAGCACACATGATCACAACAGGTAGCAAACGCCTTCCTGCTGCTCTGCATTACACCAGCTGAATTACTTATCTGACACCCAGAAGCCAGTGAAAGAACAGAATAACAAAAAAAAAAAAACCCAGCTTCCACTTCCACCCTACATAATGCTTTTAATATTAATTGAACAGTGTGGTTAAAAAAAGCTCTTCCTTAACCAATAACTTCAAATGTTCGTAATTGGTAAAAAAAAAAAAAAAAACAGACACTCGCCATTCCTTTAAATATGATGAAAACAACTAGTCTTTTTAGTGGTAAAAAATAACTAATTGTACTAAGGCCCATTCACATTACTTATGATAACTATACAGTGCCTTGCGAAAGTATTCATTTTTTTCACATTTTGTTATGTTGCTGCCTTATGATAAACTGCTTTAAATTACTTCCACCCCCCCCCCC